GTACTGTAGAAATCACTGTGACCATGTTTGAGAGTGTCCTTGATCAATATTCTTTGATTGTCCGATTAACAACCAATCACTGCCTGTGTTTAAGTAGTAACAGGCAGATATGTACAGCACAACTGAGCAGCATTCAAATTTTAAGACATAGTTCAGCTGACACGCCGAAAAGTGGCCTATCTGCAATAGGATGTGCTGCTTCATCGCAGCCAAATGCTCTGCCTATCGGCTCCCTCCACCAGCGGGCCGCGGGAATAAGATAAGAAGTCACACTCCGAAAGTCTCCTTCAGAGAAAGTCCTGGAGCTCCTTCCTCCTTGTGAGGAAGATCCAGAGCGTTGTCCTTATCACTGCCTACCTCAGCAAACTGCCACCTGAGACTGGATCCAAAATAGACATTATTAGCATTCCCAGTACGTCGCACACCCTAATGCAGGGCAGCAGAGCGCTTTAAAGGACAGCCATCTCTGCACCTTATACAGCACATCCAAGAAAAATGTTCTACACCAATGATCGCTTATTAAAAGCACCTCCCTCTGCAAAAAATCTCACATTAAAAATACCATCAGGTGAGGCCGATTTTCATTAGAAATAGGGTCATTTGAGGTGAAGCAAACCGTCCCCATGCAGTCACCTTGGGTTCTCTGAGGGAGTGATATCTCTCTCTAGATTACAGTGGCTGCAGGTACTGAATTCCTAAATAACAGCCCTCTCACCTTACTCCAGTGCCCTGCCCTCTAACAAAAAAGGTCAGAAAAAACCATTATCAGGCCTTTCTTCCCCTACTATTATCAGGGAGGGTGGGAGAAGAGGGTTTGTGTGAAACAGATGTGACCGTTGACCCCCATGGCCTTTTCCAGCAAGCCCAGACAAAGACTATCATGCCCAGACAGCGGAACTTTCTTATTAAAGGTGTTCAATCAGTGTTTTTGACTGAATATTTAAAGTGAACAAATCATTCTCTACTTATTTTTACTTAAAGCACGTGACTGTTTTTCTGCATTCAAAGACTGACTTTGTGTCTGAATGAGATTTTGAGCAATAAAAATGACACATAATTAAAAGGGCATGCGGACGTTATTGAAACTCTTTATTCATTTTGGCTATTAATATTGTATTTTTTCTCTAGCTTGATAAAATCATGCACAAAAAGTTGGAGATCTGCTTTGTTGTCATTTGTGGAGAAAACAATGACTCAAAAGAGTCAGCTTGTTCCAGTTGTCAACAAATAATGACTCAAAACACACATGAGATGCTCATTTGTGTTGGAGTCGATGGCCTTGTGGGCAGCACACCAACATGCGGCGCAGCTGCGGTTCGGGCGACCTGAGTTTGAGTCTCGGATCACAGTCCTTTCCAGATCCCACCCCCTCTCTCACCCACTTCACTTTCTTTCCTCTCTGCAATCATACTATCGAAATAAAGGCAAAAAAAAAAAAA